ATAGTTAATGTCATGCCATAACAGTTTAACTGTAGTAATAAGAAAGAATCGGGTGACCCTTAATTTCTTTTGAGCAGCATACATGTTTTCTGCCAGACGTTTTTTCCAGTGTTCATACTTGATACCCACGGCTGTATAAGTAGCATGACATGACAAGAGATGACGAGTGGTCGAGGACTAACCAGACGGTCACAGTTTCGCTGATGACATTAAGTGATCTGTCATGGGATTGCGGTTCCACGGCTGTCATGACGCCGTGGTCTATTTGTGATATTTATCTGAACAGTCTATGGGTAATTGAATAAAAATCCATGCATTTTTATTTATTTTTTAACAATTGCTTATAAAATGCCACATTTGGTCGAGTTCTTAAAATAATTGACTTTTTGTTAGTTGTTCAGTTTTATTTATATTTAAACCCTGAAATGCATTACATTTGTTGAGAGGTGAGGTGAGGTGGAATGTGGTTTAACGTCGCGTCCAAGATTATTGCACTTATATTGCGACGTGAATGCACGCGTGTGCAGCTGCTTGTACTAGTCCGGACTGATGCCGATTTATAGTGCTAGTCCACTGAGATACCATGCCGCAGTTTAACATGAATTCCTCACTCAGACACAGTACACTGACTCCGAGCCGACCAGTCCTTGTTTTAGCCTCTTAATGTCGAGCGCCGGACAGGGTAACAACAAGCACTATCTTTTAACGTCTTTTGGTATGGCGCGACCGGGGATCGAACCCCGGACCTTCCGCTCTCCGGGCAGACGCTCTACCATTGTTAGAAACGTTACCCAAATGAGATTGAGGCATTTGTATAGTAGACAAAAACTGGTTAAGGTGTAAAAAAAGGAAACGAAATTGTTCTTTTTGCTTCAAACATGTCAGTGTTGAATAAATATTTTGGGGAAATTCTCTTTTTGTAAATTTAATGTGACGATCAAAGAGTTTGCCACTGCCGTGATGTTGCAACGCGTCAAACGTTGTGGGCGCCGTCTTTACATTTCAGCACGAGGCTGGGCGCTCATGGATCCACGTCTCACGTGATAATGATTAACCGTTATCTGAAGGAGGGGCACTGTTTGCACTCAGTGGAACTACAAAGACACGGCTGTTGACGTAACCAGGATGCGAGAGCTGTTGTTACGGACGCTGTTACATACATATCACTGAGAAGATTGTGTCTTTATTTCATATAACATGATGCTTGTTCACACCAGGACATATAAATAGAAAACCACTTGGTATATTTGAAGTCGCCATTGTCTCTCGTGGATATAATTGTATAAAATACGTTTTTTAGACCCTGCGATGTGGTGTTATGCTTTCACATAGAATATCGTTGTTACTTTCTTCATAACATTCGTCACCATATAACATTGTTTAAGTGCAAAATAAGATGTCCACTAGTCTCGATGAGACAAGAGTTGATGGACCCTTAATGTTTATGTTATATTAAAAAACAAATAAACAAACAAACAAACAACCTGTTGTGCTAAGGGAACAGTTCTAAAAGACTTAATCCCATGTGTTGGAAAGATATAAAAAACAAAGGACCTCTATCTACTCAGATACAATGAACTTAACGGAGAAGTAAATACCTTTGAGATTTAATTAATGAACTCTTTGATTATGTAAATATCTTGACACTAAGATTTCAACTCAACCTGTCTTTTTTCACAAAAGTATGTTTGTATGTTCATGCACAGGGAAATTGAGAATCTCACCCTTGTGTCTTTTGATATCAAATATATCAACACGAGTTGATAAAAGTGGAAAAAGTCCTCAATAAGACTCCGAGTTTGCGGAGTACTTTTCCCACTTTTATCAACGAGTGTTGAAATATTTTATATCAAAAACACGAGGGTGAGATTTTATTTATCATCTAACATCATTCTTCCAAATTTTTCTGTTTGTAGACAGTAATAAGCAGTGTCTGAAGTTTATAAAGTACTGCTAACAGCTTCAGTGGCAGAGCCCTTAGTGATGTCATTTGATTGTGATGTCATGATAACAATGATGTCACAATGGTCTGCAAAGCATTGTGATGCAATTTCATTGCAGCAATACCTACAATGTAGCTGTCGCTTGATCTCACCCAAGCAATTTATTTTATTACTTGCCCGTGAAGAGATCACCCGTTTAATAAACATACAGCTTTATTACATTGTGTAATACCAAAACGCGTGCTTATGTACTCTCGGAACACGTTTCACGAACAAATATTGAAAGCTCTCAACATCCCTTGGCGTATTCAACGACATTGTTTGTGGAGATGATAGATCACTGGGAGGAGGTTATGCACACTCGATGACCCCAGCAACCTTGTTGCTAGGCTGACGTCACCTGGCATTGTTTCGCCGATGGATCTTGCAACAAAATTCCACAAATTACGTCATCGGGTATTGTGACGTCACTGTAAACTTTGAGCTGCAAGGCCCCGTTCCACAAGGTGATCGTACTCTAGCGCAACGAGAGTCTTTAGTCTAAGTTAAATTATGTGAGTTGTGATAGCCTAACACTACGATAATTTTGTGGGACGAACGCCTGAATTCTAAAGGTGGACCATTGTATGATATTAAATTCATACGTTTCAACTTTTGACGTGTTTGAAGTATTATTCTGTTAAACTCAATTGGATTATGCCATGGATCGTGTAGGTGTCAGCCTATTTACACTCAACAGTATAATTCTAAAAACATTATAAATGACAAGTAATAAATAAAATACTAAACTCGCTCTCGTGTAAAACCAATTTTATGAAACTCGTGAATAGTTGTGGTATCTGACTCGCTTTCGCTCGTCAGATACCAGAACTATTCACTCGTTTCATAAAATTGGTATTACACGGGAGCTCGTTTAGTATTCTATATATATACTTCAGTGTGAAAGACTGAGTTTTCTGAAGTTGAGAAAAGTGATATTTTCATTGCAGTGAACATAACACTTGATATTTCACTGCAGTTGAACATAACACGTTGACGGAACTATGTTGGCCTACACGAGACAGCTCGTACACAAACTGTTGATTTACGTCAGTTCAACGTTGACAAGTCATATAATGACAGATGGTCATTTATGTAGTTAATACCGATTCTTACCGTTTGTTTATTTTGTTGAAAATGATTTGTATTAAACTGTGAATTTCTCTTCTGATTTGCCAGTCGATACTTTACGTTTCGCAAGCGCCATTTTGTTACTTGAATTGCGTGTATTCTTTCGCTATATCTCCTGTGGGAGCCAGTTTTGAATGATAAATGCATAGCGACCATAATCATCTTTTCGATTGATCCTGTCGGTGTCAGTTGAGAGAATAGAGAAAGCTGACCAGATAAAGGTCGAACAGTTGGACTTGGGTGCTGCTCCTCCTCATAAAAGAATCTGTCACGAGGTCAAGAACCATCTTACCAACTGGTGGATTGACTAAAGCACCTGGACCCACTTGCACAAAGCGATCTTAGCGCTAAGACTATCGTAAGCCTATGTTAAAGAATGGGAGTTACGATCATCTTAGCGCTAAAATCGCTTTGTGCAAGTGGGCCCTGGACACCAAGACGTGCTTGTCTTTCCTTGTTAATAAAAGAGCAAAGCTGGACAGAGGACTGGATTTTTACTTACATATTCAGAGACGAGACTCTTCCAAACATATTTTTCACCTTTATTTACAGAAATGTATAGAACTTTGAAGTGGAAAACATCCTACATGGTTACTGTTTGTACAAATGAACATAGTATGCACTCAGGACTTGTGAACAAGACAATGAATGATTTACAAGACAGAGACTGGACAAATAAATATGAAACAATGACCGTTTGCATTAATAACCTTATGATTGCATCATTTCAAGATTGTTGTCATATCACATGGGCGGATACAGAGGGGGGGTGCGGGGGTGCGCACCCCCCCCCCCTTTTTATTTCGAAAAAAATCTTTATTTCTGTATAAATTACCACCAAAGACAATAAATGGATCTTAATTGTGCACCACCCTTTTTCATAAAAGCTGTATCCACCCATGTATCAACACATTCCACATGCAATTCAGCCCAGAAAAAAACAGGAATTCTATGTAACTGATATTAGGTACATACTCTCAAGTCAGTGAGCTTTTCTAGGTACACAAGTAAACAAGTGACACCTTACAAGTTAATTTCATTGATGAATAAAGTAGATCGTTTTAATTAAATTTGGTATCACTATTTGACATCTTTTAATTTTTTTGTATAACTATTAATAACTGGAAAAAGATACTTTAATGCAACCAATTTCATTTCAGTTACAATACGTTTTATCATATCACTACATGCATTGTCTATCATCCAAGGGGCATAACTCCCAAGTATTCCAGCATGCCGCCCACTAGGAAGCTGGATGTTGTCAGCACCACTGTTTTTCTCTCTCTCGCTTTCTCTCCAGCATCTTCACACACATGTAATCTCTGTCTTCAGGACCAGAACAAAATACTGGCTGCCATGGCCACACAGCAAACAGCTACATATGGACTTTTTCTTTCCCCTGCAAACAAATATTTTCATATCAACCAGAAACATAGTAAAGATGGTTTCCACTTTTGTACAGTTCCAGATGAATTCTGCAATTCTGCGATCACCCAAATATTTGTAGAAAATTAAGAATGGAAAAATTGCAGAATTTGCCTTTTTTTATCAATCAATATATCAGATACGATGCATTTGTATCTGCAAAATCTATAGCTTGAAATATCTAAATGGAATCGATTAAAAAAACATAAGGAGAAAAAATGAATTTTGAGGTTTTAGCGGGAATGGTTGTCACCCGGGAAATGGTGATGACAAACCTAGAAACATAATCGGAGTGAACCGGGATTCTAACCAACAATCATACGTTTCTTGCGTGCCCAAGGGACGCAACTCTGCACAGCGAATCGTGGCGCCTTAGACGACTGGGCCCCCCGTGCCTCCCCTACCCCCTGTGTCTTCTGAGCTATGCTGTCACTCTTCACTTGATAAACAAGACTTAGATACTTACCTATTCTGGCAAATTTCCAAAAGGTTCCTAATATTCTGAAATTGAAGATCAAAGAATACATTGTAAGGTTGTCTTCAGGATGTCCTCACTGTCTGTATTACAGTATTTGACTTTTTCTGAGATGAGTGTTTCTAAAATCAAAATATATTCTAACCATGCTAACTGTCCAGATACAAAATGAAAGGAATTTCTTAAAACTAACGTTCACATTTTAACAGAATATTTTATGTGTGTTTGTTTGTTCACTGTATGTAGAGAATGTATTCAGCATTGTGTTTCGTCTGAAATTATAAATATATTGGACTGAACATGCAAATTACAAGTACTTTGTTTTTATCTGTATAACACTGTTTATCATCCAAAACTGGCTCCCACAGGAGTTATCGCTTGGGTGAGATCAAGCGATATCTACACTGTAGATATCGCTGCAATGAAATTGCATCACAATGCTTTGCAGACCATTGTGACGTCATTGGTTACCATGACGTCACAATCAAATGACATCACTAATGGCTCTGCTACTGAAGCTGTTAGCAGTACTTTTTAGACTTAAGACACTGCTAATTACTGTCTACAAACTGAAAAAGTTGGAAGAATGATGTTGGATGATAAGTAAAATCTCACCCTCGTGTCTTTTGATATAAAATATATCAACATTAGTTGATAAAAGTGGAAAAAATCCTCGGCAAGCCTCGGAGTTTTCCCTCTTTTATTAACTTGTGTTGATATATTTGATATCAAAAGACACTCAGGTGAGATTCTCTTTACCGTATTCGACGTAATAAGCACCCCGCTCTAATAAGCGCCCACAGCGATAATTGCTCATATATTGGCTAGTGAACAATCCCAATTAGCACCCCTTCCGATTGATCAATGTACACAAGACTTATTTATTCGCACTCATGTGTTATATGCACCCTTAATTATGGGCAATTAAATTCTGAAAAAATATATCTGTCGTATATAAACATTTCAGTCTGTCAGCATAAACCACGAAATTTATCTTTCAAATCTGTTTTTTCCACCAAAATAATATTCTTATAAGAGCCCCCTGTTTCTAATTTTGGGAGCGCCCTGGGCGCTTATTACATCGAATAAAGTATATATGATGATTTGACTTATTTAGTCTATGAATTTCAAAAGTGCAGTCAATATACATACCCAGTCTTGTTTTTGTCCAGTAAACTTGGTGCTATGGATCTGATATATGCACATGTACAAATCAGCAGTAACACCACTGTCAACAAGCTCTGGAAGTTGAACAACGCCGACTGAAACAAAAGACACAATTGCTATTCAGCTTTTTCATCAAGTTTTGAAGTTACAGGCTTTGGATTGTGTTATGCTTTTCTTCAAATCTGGGCCAGACAAACCCATGAAGAGCCAGGTTAGAATAGGTCTTCAGCAACCCATGCTTGCTGTAAAAAGCTACAATGCTTATCATAAGAGTACTTAACGGGATCAGGTGGTCAGGCTCGCTGACTTGGTTGATGCATGTCATCGTACCTTAATTGGCTGGATTGATGCTCATTATGTCAATCACTGGATTGTCTGGTCCAGACTTGATTATTTACAGACTGCTGTCATATAGCTGGAATATTGCTGTGCGGGGTTGAACGTTTAACAAACAAACAAACACTTTAAGCAATGTCCAAAACTCAGGGTACTAATACTTCTATGACACTTAATCAATTGAATCAGCTTGCCTGACCAGCAGCGGCTCAGTAGTCACCTCTTACAACAACAAATTGTCACAGTGACCCAGTTTAGTGGGATTCTGGGGAGTGAGTGAGTGAGTGAGTTGGGTTTAACGCCGCTTTTAACATTATTCCAGTTCCATTATTACACGGCGTGTCAGCTTAATGTGGGAAGAAAGCCCGAAGTCATGCAGGTCTAAGACGTTTACCACTTCGGTGAAACCCACGAGCACGGGTATGGTGCTGACAAACCTAGAAACATAATTTGGGCAAACCGGGATTCTAACCCACAATCATAGGTTTCTGGTGTGCCCAAAGGACGCAACTCTGCACAGCGAATCGCGGCACCTTTAACGACTGGGCAACCCGTGCTACCAGGGATTCTGGGAAAGAACAGGTCCTAAGTATATGTTCTGTGTATATTGGTATAACTAGCAAGAACCTTGTGGGATTCAGAGGAAAAGTAGGTAGGTATATGTGAATGCCTTCTTTTGAATCAGATCTGCTGGTCAATTTTGGTGACTTGAGAGATTGTGTGTCATGATGACTGACAGCTTTCATTATTGCTCATGGTTCTAGTCACTGTAGGGTTTGTCTGGTCCAGGCTCAATTACTCTCATTATATTTTTGTATAATGTTTAATGCAGCACTCAGCAATATCACAAGGGGAGGTGGACAGGTATTGTGAACATGAGAAGCATACAATTCTATTTAATTTAAACAATACAGACCATTTCAACCTCGGCCAAAATGGCAAGTGACGTGCCTTGTTTATTTATATATTATGGGTCTGGTGTTTCAGTAATATCACTATCACTAATCTTGACAAAATGTCAGACTAAATAAACTATAAATAAATTGAGTATTGACATCGTTATTCATGTTCACATTCCTTTGTTTGGTGAACGTTTACATATTGTACTCAGCCTTTTGATTAGTCCTGCACCATGACCGTGGAATATATTTATTTTATGAAAAATAAATAATCTAGAAACACATACAAAAAGCAAGTCTAGCCAGCTCAAGCTAGCTCTATTCCTGGAATCAGCATAGGGAAATATTTTTTTATTTTTAGAGTCAAGAAGGATATTGTGTAATATAAGATTTCAGAGACTATATGTTAGTTTACCTTTTGATATACACTGACTGATCCTAGAATGAATCAATGATGCTGACACTACTGATTGCAGTGATGCCGGACCAGTATGTTATCATGGCAAGATACAAGTCCAGAAAGATTCAGTTTCAGAATTTTCCTGTCCTAGTGCACTTCTTGTCTACATAGCATCCGATAAAGAAAATATAAATAAACCGGAAAGGGACATATCTTTGGTTTAATATGATCATTGACAGGTACCACTTACCATTGTTGACAACGTGTAGACTTTGCACGATGTAAGAGAGAGAAAATGTTTGATTGGTTTATGTTCTTATTTGTACCCAATGGAATCTATCGTTTCATATTACGGCAGCTCAATCAGGTACATTTAACAGTTGTTTGTTATATCGGAGAAAGGATTACAAGCTCCAAACAGCGCTATTGTATCTATGAATAGACTACGCCTATAGTGCCAAAGTGCAGTCTAGGTAGCACGCACTGGTATGGAGCTAAAACGCATACGCAAACGATTATACCCGATATTAACCGAGACGAGCAGACTGAAAAACGGGGAAAACGAGGTCTATCTAAAATATAAACTGCTAGACGAAAAGTCAAAAATATATATATTCGTGAGAATTGTGAAAAAATGTCTGTTCAAAAATAATTTGTTATGAAATGTTATAAAAATCTTATTGAATATCTATTTTCTTAATATTTTATTCTGTAATTAAAAATATAAAGATGAAAGCAACTGTAAGATCGAGATCATATCCCGTTGTATGTTTTGTACCTACCTATGCTGAAACACTTCCTACTTCCGAGGATAAGGTATTTGGTATTTGATGTAACTTGCATGGGATATTTTATAACCAACGAGTGTCATATCGTGTTTTTCTGGCGATTAGTGTCTGTGTAAATTTAAATGGTTGCATGTTGTTGTTAACCCTCGGCTGTCAACCGGTTTTTATATGTTGCCGGTACATTGTCCTATTTTCGATCACTAATAGATCACCTAACTTGTAATGCATAATGTGAACGAGGGCTACGCCGCTGTGCAACGAATATCCGATAATTTCAATTCGACTCACATAGTTAAAGTTTAAAAGCAAAACAATAATATCTTGTTTCTCCCATGAAAGAAAAATGATTGATTGTTTGTTTTACTAATAGGAATTTAGGTCTAGCATAGATCTCCTTATTTGCATTATTTATTTCGGTGTGAAAGGTCGTAAATTTCTTTTCAAAATACCGGTAGACATTTGAGGAGAGCTAGATTCTGCTGACCCTGAAACCTAAGTACCCTGTTAATCATGCAAAAATATGCCCACGCAAGTGTCCAAGAAATTATTGTATAAAATGCATGCTGGAATATTGCTGAGATGGGTGTTAAACGACTAACACACACACACTGGTATACAATGAGTGTTTACAACCATGTACAACATGAACAATGTATGTGAACATGGTGTACACTAATAACCATGCATGCTAATGTACACACCAGAACTATCAGGTACAAGCTGACACATTTCGATATCACTGTTAATTAGGGGAGAAACGAAACAACAAAGTCGCGATACGATATGTATCATGATACATAGATCGCGACACAATACATATTGCAATACACATATTTTCTTCAAATCGCATGGAAACTTCTTACTATAAATATTTCAGAGCAGGCTCAAACGGAAAGGCTAGCTGTAGACACATGTTCACAGCTATTTTGAGTTGTGAACTTGAAACGCTAATTACAACACATTTGTGACATTTGACTGACAAAAACGCTGAGGTAGTATGTAATTTATTTAAACAAGTGTGTGATCTTGTGTTGATACCGAAAAAAACATATCGTGTATTGTATTGTGGCATGTAAACTCACAATGCACTGGTGCACCGTTGTATTGTTTCATCCTTACTCAGTGTTCCCGCTTGCTTTTGAAACTGCCAGTCCCCTCTAATTTTTGTCAGTCCCAACTTCAACAAACAAAAAACATAAGAAAATTACCTGGTTATAATTCTTTCAACATCATATCCAGTGCAATGACGTCATCTCTGAAGTAACTTTGTTAGATCTACACATCCTTCACACATTCAGTCATAATTTGCTCTTCTTTCTTTTGAATATTTTGAGACGAAGTCACTTCAGATATATTTTCAACCTCGAAGAAAAGCGACGTTATTTTCCCTTGCATTAAAAATTAACAAGGAGAAACCCTGATGACAAGCTGACTTCGTTTGAAAAATATATTACCGTATTCGACGTAATAAGCGCCCCGCTCTAATAAGCGCCCACGAACAATCCTAATTAGCACCCCTTCTGATTGATCAATGTACACACGACCTATTTATTCGCGTATAATACGCACTCATGTGTTATATGCACACTTAATTATAGGCAATTAAATTCTGGAAAAATATATCTGTCGTACATAAATATTTCAGGCTGTCAGCATAAACCACAGAATTTTTCTTTTAACTTATTTCTTTCACTAAAATAATACTCTAATAAGAGCCCGCTATTTCTAATTTTGAGAGCGCCCTGGGCGCTTATTACATCGAATACGGTATATACATATTGCTGACAATTTATTCAACAACAAAGATTTATAAGGTATTTTATTTGCTGGTCCACAGGGACTGGCAGTCACATGAATTACCGGTCCAAGTCTAATTTTACCGGTAAAAAACGGCAATTACCAGTAAACGGGAACACTGCTTACTGTTTATGTTTCAGACAATGTCGAAGACAACGTTTGTGAAGCTGGACACGGCCGCCAGGAAGGACTGCTTCCTGCAGACGACACTGAGGGATGATGGGAAGGAAGGCTTCCAGCTGATGGTCACGGATGGAGAGAACATCTGGAGTGGAGACTGTACGTACCATTCGTCACCACTCGCCCCTTTCTGTAACCTGCAAGAAGGCTCGTCCCCCTATTGATGAATGTTATGTGTGAAAATACGACAAACCAATGAGAATGCGTGTATGATTTCATGTTCTTTGTCAAAGGATCCCTCAGAAATAATTTTTTATTTTATATATGTCTTGCATCTAAAAATATACCAAAGATACAGTTAAATGTGTTCAATCATACTGTATATTTCCGCATGTCCTGATGTGCTTTAAATCTTAAATATATATGATATATGGGGAAATATATGTAAACCATTACACAACGAGTTGACAATTGTTTTAGGTATGCCCGTTTGCGCTAAGACAGAACCCGGTCGCCAAAATGGCCATGAGAGGGTCACGAGTCGCTATTCGGCTTGTCCCGGAATAAAACACGAGTTTGTCACAAATGAGTACGTACATTGTGAACCCGATGTTGAAACACATTGGATTGTACTGACATGTTCTCAGTGAAATCACTCAAATTGATAAGTCTCTGAATTAACTAACATGACTCGTGGGTATAACATTAGGGTATAGAATATAACATTAGGGTATAACATATAATAGGATATAAACATTAGGGTATAACACAAAGACACAGTTAGACCTGTTATGTGTGGTTACTGTGGTGTGAGTTTTTACTGTGTTGTCAGTGTTTACTTTGATATTGTTATTGTGACGGCAGTGACGGAGGACAACATCGACAGCCTGAGCAGCAAGGCCAAGATGGACTACAACACCTACGTCGCCCAGACGGTCAAGGCATTCACACAACAAAACCTGGCTGGGATGCAGTTTGAATTTCAGATGAAGACAAGGGGAGATGACTCCGTCGACTTTATTTGGAAGAAGCATGTGCCAGCCGATGAAATCAAGGTACTGAGTAAAATCTGGGGATGATAGACGTAGAATTAACAATTCGACAAAGGAAAGATAAATGTGGCAACTAAAAGATTAATTTTCAGTCGTGCTGTCATTGATCATAGGGAGCAGTGGGATTGGCCTTAGGACTAGATCATATTTTGTCGACACCTCCTCAAAATGAATGTAACATTTCCCATGACCCCCCTACCCATAATAATCTTTGTATTTGAAAAAATATAACTGTGACATTTTTTGTGACATCCCTCTTAATCTTAAAATGGAGGGGTCATCAAAATATGATACAGGTCTGAGACCCTAAGACATTCATCGACCCGTGAAGATCCGGGCTGGAATAGGTCTTCAACAACCCATGCTTGCTGTAACAAGCAACAATGCTTGTCGTAAGAGGCGACTAACAGGATCAGGTAGTCATGCTCGCTGACTTTTTTGATGCATGTCATCGTATCCCAATTGTGAAGATCAATGCTCATGATATCAGTCACTAGATTGTCTGGTCCAGATTCAATTATTTATATATAGCTGGAACATTGCTGAGTCAGTGTTAAACAAATACATTCATCATGTGAAAAAGACAGCACTGAATACTGAAAAACATAGTTTTGATTTCTTGATGAATGTACATTTAAAAAACGTAAACCTTACACAATGTCATCCAATCACAACTGCAAGGTTTCTCACTGCGCACTCTATCTTCTCTACAAATGCTGGGGCACGGGTGGCCCACTCGTCTAAGGGGGCGCGATTCGCCGTGCAGAGTTGCGTCCCTTAGGAACGCCAGAAACCTATGATTGTGGGTTAGAATCCCGGTTCGCCCCGATTATGTTTCTAGGTTTGTCAGCACCCTACCCGTGCGCGTGGGTTTCACCGAAGTGGTAAACATCTGAGACCTGCATCACTTTGGGCTTTCCTCCCATATTAAGCTGACACGCCGTGATATGACTGGAATACTGTTAAAAGCGGCGTTAAACCCAACTCACTCACTCACTCACTCACTCACTCACTCACTCTCTCACTCTCTCTCTCTCTCTCTCTCTCTCTCTCTCTCTCTCTCTCTCTCTCTCTCTCTCTCACTCTCTCTCTCTCTCTACAAATGCTGCTGGTCAAACAACTGATTCTGATTTGGTGCTTGGAACCCATTGTTTGCTGACTTGAACTGTAATAGCCCTGAACATTGTATATAGTTGGATGAGAAACCTACAGACCTCTTAGGTTTAATTGATGTCTCATGAAGATATATTGAGATATAGGAGTACAAGCAGGATGAAGTTTAATTAATGGATGCTCCCTGTACAGTTTCAGCTGGGCAGTGTGACTCTGTATATGAAGGATGACCCTGCTCGGTGTATACGTCAGATATTCCAGCAGAACATCACCACCAACACCAGTCTACAGGAACGCATCCGTTCCCTAGACACAGACAATGAACGCCTGTCACGAGAGAGAGCCATGGCCCTGAAGGTATAGTTGATACATAGAATACTAAATTAGCTCCGTGTAATACCAATTTTATGAAACGTTATGATACCCCAACCATTCACGAGTTTCATAAAATTGGTTTTACACCGGAGCGAGTTTAGTATTTTATTGATTACTTGCCATTTATAACTTTTTTAGAATTATACTGTCATGTATGAATAGGCTGACACCTACACGATCCGTGGCATAATCTCATTGAGTTTAACAGAATAATACTTCAAACACGTTAAAAGTTGAAACGTATTGATTTAATACCATACAGCGGTCCACCTTTAGAATTCAGGCTTCTGTTCCACAAAGTTATCTGGCTTTTTCCTTTATCTCGACGTTTGATTGGGATGGTAAAATAATAACAAAAATCAAGGGCAGGTAATTTGAGATTGTGAGAACCACGGAAATGGATCCAGGGGTTAGCGAACCCTGTAGATATAGAGGATGATTTTAAGTTTAAAGTAGTTGTGAGACTACCTTTACGTGTATGCTTGAAAATGTGTGAAAGGTCTAGGGCTATTTAGAAAATATTACCAATGTGTCTTTAGACAGAAAATATATCAACATGAATCCTTAAAAGTTTAAAATTTCGAGACTTTTATCATTTTTAATTTTAGTCACCCAAAACCATTCTTCAAACTTTTTCAGTTTGTAAACAGTAATAAACAGTCGTGAAAAAAAGAGAGCCGAGAGATTAGTGATGTCATTTGATTGTGACGTCATTGTTGATGTTGACATCACAATTTCATCAACATTTACAATGACATCACAATCAAATGACATCACAATTGTCTGCAAAGCATTGTGATGCAATTTCATTGATCTCACCCGAGCGATATATCCTGTGGAGGCCAGTTTGGGATTATAAATGGGGTAAATCTTTGATTATTCTGGGCAATGTGCCTCCATTCTATTGCGATAAATACTCTGAACCAATTTACCACCATACCTTAGTTTTTACCCTGATTTGAATGACACAGTGCTAAATATAGCCATCCAATCACATTACACACAGGATCAAGACAAATCCTGTCCAAGTTAATAAGTTAAGTTATCTTTACCAATATGATTTTAACCATGTTGTAAGTTCTTCAAACCTTGCTATCCTTGATCTATCATTTGAAGTGTTGTGATTAACAACTATATTTATCTTTAAGAGTAAGAGACAAATCAAATAGCTTGTGGCAATGGATTTCATTTGCTTCTATAATGCTGGAGGACCACAGTTTACTGTTATTGTTTCAGAGGCTGGACAAATGTATCACAGCGAAGGAGGAGATGGAGAGAGATCTGTACGAGAAGGTGAGGTCACAAGAATGCAGGGTCATTGTTGGGTAAACGCCCTGTCCAGTCTCATTCCACAACTGGTTTAACACAAATTCTCTTTTTCTCCAAGAAGATTCTTCTTCAAAAGATGGCAGTTCACCAAGAGCCAATGTTAAATTAGACCTTGTCACTGTATTTACAGTCTACATGGATCTTATCAGAAGGATGGGGGGGGGGGGTCACGGTTGGCCCAGTCGTTTAAGGCTCCGCGATTCACTGTGCAGAGTTGCGCCCCTTGGGCACGCCAAAAACCTATTGTGGGTTCGAATTCCGGTTCGCCCCAATTATGTTTCTAGGTTTGTCAGCACCATACCCGTGCTCGTGGGTTTCACCGAAGTGGTAAACATCTGTGACCTGCATCACTTTGGGCTTTCCTCCCACATTAAGCTGACAAGCCGTGATATGACTGGAATACTGTCAAAAGCTGGAGTTCCTGAGTTGAGCAATGACTGAGTTCATGATGTGTTGAGTGGTCACTGAGTACCAGATGAGTTGAGTGGTTACCGAGTTCATGATGAGTTGAGTGGGCACTGAGTTCATGATGAGTTGAGTGGTCACTGAGTTCATGATGAGTTGAGTGGTCACTGAGTTCATGATGAGTTGAGCAATCACTGAGTTCATGATGAGTTGAGTGGTCACTGAGTTCATGATGAGTTGAATGGTCACTGAGTTCATGATGAGTTGAGTGGTCACAGTTTATGATGAGTTGAGCAATCACTTAGTTCATGATGAGTTGAGTGGTCACTGAGTTCATGATGAGTTGAGTGGTCACTGAGTACCAGATGAGTTGAGTGGTCACAGTTTATGACGAGTTGAGTGGTCACTGAGTTCATGATGAGTTGAGCAATCACTGAGTTCATGATGAGTTGAGTGGTCACTGAGTTCATGATGAGTTGAGCAATCACTGAGTTCATGATGAGTTGAGTGGTCACTGAGTTCATGATGAGTTGAGTGGTCACTGAGTTCATGATGAGTTGAGCAATCACTGAGTTCATGATGAGTTGAGCAATCACTGAGTTCATGATGAGTTGAGTGGTCACTGAGTTCATGATGAGTTGAGCAATCACTGAGTTCATGATGAGTTGAGTGGTCACTGAGTTCATGATGAGTTGAGTGGTCACTGAGTTCATGATGAGTTGAGCAATCACTGAGTTCATGATGAGTTGAGTGGTCACTTAGTTCATGATGAGTTTAGTGGTCACTGAGTTCATGGTGAGTTGAGTGGTCACTGATTTCATGGTGAGTTGAGCAATCACTGAGTTCATGATGAGTTGAGCAATCACTGAGTTCATGATGAGTTGAGTGGTCACTGAGTTCATGATGAGTTGAGTGGTCACTGAGTTCATGATGAGTTGAGTGGTCACTGAGTTCATGATGAGTTGAGTGGTCACAGTTTATGATGAGTTGAGTGGTCACTTAGTTCATGATGAGTTGAGTGGTCACTGAGTTCATGGTGAGTTGAGTGGTCACTGAGTTTATGGTGAGTTGAGTGGTCACTTAGTTCATGATGAGTTGAGTGGTCACAGAGTACCAGATGAGTTGAGCAATCACTGAGTTCATGATGAGTTGAGTGGTCACTGAGTTCATGATGAGTTGAGCAATCAATGAGTTCATGATGAGTTGAGCAATCACTGAGTTCATGATGAGTTGAGTGGTCACTGAGTTCATGATGAGTTGAGTGGTCACTGAGTTCATGATGAGTTGAGTGGTCACTGAGTTCATGATGAGTTGAGTGGTCACAGTTTATGATGAGTTGAGTGGTCACTTAGTTCATGATGAGTTGAGTGGTCACTGAGTTCATGGTGAGTTGAGTGGTCACTGAGTTTATGGTGAGTTGAGTGGTCACTTAGTTCATGATGAGTTGAGTGGTCACAGAGTACCAGATGAGTTGAGCAATCACTGAGTTCATGATGAGTTGAGTGGTCACTGAGTTCATGATGAGTTGAGCAATCAATGAGTTCATGATGAGTTGAGCAATCACTGAGTTCATGATGAGTTGAGTGGTCACTGAGTTCATGATGAGTTGAGTGGTCACTGAGTTCATGATGAGTTGAGTGGTCACTGAGTTCATGATGAGTTGAGTGGTCACTGAGTTCATGATGAGTTGAGCAATCACTGAGTTCATGATGAGTTGAGTGGTCACTGAGTTCATGATGAGTTGAGCAATCACTGAGTTCATGATGAGTTGAGTGGTCACTGAGTTCATGATGAGTTGAGTGGTCACTGAGTTCATGATGAGTTGAGCAATCACTGAGTTCATGATGAGTTGAGTGGTCACTGAGTTCATGATCAGTTGATTGGTCACTGAGTTCATTATCAGTTGAGTGGTCACTGAGTTCATGATCAGTTGAGCAATTACTGAGTTCATGATAAGTATAGTGATCACTGAGTTCCAGATATCTTGATCAAATATTGTCACCAGTTATTTGTATTTTTGGTTAGCCTTGTGCAAGCAGTAGATACGTTTACATCGCCAGTCATAGATCTATATCCCATTTGGCCACCAAAATGGTCATTTGTTATTACATTTTATTATCTTCTATTTTTTCAGTTTGTAGCAGTTCTTAACAGCAAAAAAGAGAAAATAAGAGCTTTGAAACAACAAAGTAAGTTTTGTATTTACTCCAAGAGACTCATTTAGTAACTTTTCAAGAATGATTGGGTGGTCACACCGTTTGTCGTTCATATGTGACTTGAGTCTATCAACGCATGAGAAATTGGTCATGCTCTTGTATCCGCCTTAAGACTTCTGAGTCCCATGATGGGATGTGACCCTTCTGCATTTGTGACATCCCGCTAGACTTGTTATGTGCATGGTGTACTGGTGATCTACATGTCATGTACAATGTTTGTTTATTACAGTAGAAGATGGGGTCCCATCATCCTCCAGTGTTAAAGGTAAGTTTGAAGTACAGTGGAATCTGACCAATTCAGACAAAAAGCCGAGTTTACGGCGAGATCTGGATTACACAGAGTACAAAAAGTTGACCTGAAGACAAAATGAAAAGCAACTCTCATTTCTCTGTGTTCTCATACACACACAATGTACATGAGATATTGACATGGGCTGGCATTAAATACACATTTAAACATTCTTTACTTGACAAAGCAGTCAGAAAAACGCTGGGAATTAATCCAAGCCCCCGGAATGGCCGTCCATGTAAGTCAGAGTGTCTCAGGTTTTATGTTCTTGAAACATCTTGGTTTGGGCTTTACCCATGACTACCGGTAATGGTTTTAACTTTTCTCCAGTGGAGACCGCCTCCGTGGTCTAGTGGTAGAGCGTCCGCTCGGAGAGCGGAAGGTCCTGGGTTCAATCCCCGACCGCGTCATACCAAAAGATGTTAAAAGATGGTACTTGTTGTTACCCTGTCTGGCGCTTGGCATTAAGGGTCTAAAAGAAGGACGGGTTGGCTCGGAGTCAGTATACTGTGTCTGAGTGGGGTATTCATGTTAAACTGCGGCATGGTATCTCAGTGAGCTAGCACTATAAATCGGCATCAGTCCGGACTAGTACAAGCAGCCACACAAACACACACACGACACACACGTACATGCATGTCGCTATATGAATGCAATAATCTTGGACGCGACGTTAAACCCCATTTCACCTCACCTCACCTTTTCTCCAGTGGCACTGCAACACAATACAGTTGTCAAGTGTTCCTTAGACAGTTTTCCTCCCTTTACAACATGGGTTTTGTCAGTCTTATCTGTCAAGGCTTGAAAAAACAAACCTTTCTCATCACAGTTGAAAACATTGGATGGGTCATAATTGGCTGTAATGTGTGGTAGGAGGGACTTATACTTGTCAATAGATAAGACAGATGTGTAAGTCTGGTATGCCCTCAGACTGCAGTGATGTTTGTAGATGAGACAGATGTGATAAGTCTGGTATGGCCTCAGACTGCAGTGATTTTTGTAGATGAGACAGGTGTGATAAGTCTGGTATGCCCTCAGACTGCAGTGATGTTTCTAGATAAGACAGGTGTGATAAGTCTGGTATGCCCTCAGACTGCAGTGATTTTTGTAGATGAGACAGGTGTGATAAGTCTGGTATAGCCTGGGCCTGCAGTGATGTTTGTAGATGAGACAGATGTGATAAGTCTGGTATAGCCTCAGACTGCAGTGATGTTTGTAGATAAGACAGATGTGATAAGTCTGGTATGCCCTCAGACTGCAGTGATTTTTGTAGATGAGACAGGTGTGATAAGTCTGGTATGCCCTCAGACTGCAGTGATTTTTGTAGATGAGACAGGTGTGATAAGTCTGGTATGGCCTGGGCCTGCAGTGATGTTTGTAGATGAGACAGATGTGATAAGTCTGGTATAGCCTGGGACTGCAGTGATGTTTGTAGATAAGACAGATGTGATAAGTCTGGTATGCCCTCAGACTGCAGTGATGTTTGCAGATAAGACAGATGTGATAAGTCTGGTATAGCCTGGGCCTGCAGTGATGTTTGTAGATAAGACAGATGTGATAAGTCTGGTATGCCCTGGGACTGCAGTGATGTTTGTAGATAAGACAGGGGTGATAAGTCTGGTATGTCCTCAGACTGCAGTGATGTTTGTAGATAAGACAGGGGTGATAAGTCTGGTATGGCCTGGGACTGCAGTAATGTTTGTAGATGAGACAGGTGTGATAAGTCTGGAATGGCCTGGGACTGCAGTAATGTTTGTAGATGAGACAGGGGTGATAAGTCTGGTATGCCCTCAGACTGCAGTGATGTTTCTAGATAAGACAGGTGTGATAAGTCTGGTATGGCCTGGGACTGCTGTGATGTTTGTAGATAAGACAGGTGTGATAAGTCTGGTATGGCCTGGGACTGCAGTAATGTTTGTAGATAAGACAGGTGTGATAAGTCTGGTATGTCCTGGGACTGCAGTGATGTTTGCAGATAAGACAGGTGTGATAAGTCTGGTATGGCCTGGGACTGCAGTGATGTTTGTAGATAAGACAGGTGTGATAAGTCTGGTATGGCCTGGGACTGCAGTGATGTTTGCAGATAAGACAGGTGTGATAAGTCTGGTATGGCCTGGGACTGCTGTGATGTTTGTAGATAAGACAGGGGTGATAAGTCTGGTATGCCCTCAGACTGCAGTGATGTTTGTAGATAATACAGGTGTGATAAGTCTGGTATGGCCTGGGACGGCAGTGATCATGCGGATGTTGTAGATGATGCCAGGCCTGGTATGTCTGGAGTTGGGGATGCTGGAGTATCAGATGAGTCCGAAAATGAGGATGTCACCAACAGCATCAGCTCTACCTCCCGGGTGCCGAGAGGAAGGTGCGTGTGAAATTATCCTGTTCTTTCCAGTCATAGCACATTGCCCTAGCTGGAGGCAGAGACAAGTGTATTTATTCCTCTCTGTTGTTTTGCAAGGATACATTTAAACATGGTGATAAGATAACCATGAAATAGTTTTAAAAAAACAAGAAAACATTTGGCGAAAGTTAATTCATTTTGTATTACAATTAAACTTTAAGGGGAGATCATTCAGGGTACTTTTGAATAGGAAATATTTTTCATAATACTTACTGGTAGTACACATATTTGTTGTGGAACATAAAACTTGAACTGCTTTGAGCGTAGCTTGTCTCATTCTGAACAAATGTTATGTATAAAATGCATTGACTTCATATATACTCACCACCAAAAGAAACGCGAACCAAAGAAACATGTATAGAGGTTATCTAGCAAGTGTGTTTGGGGATGGTAAATATCTTGCATTAGGAATAAACATTGTATTTAGCGAGCCTTGGCGACAAAACGAAACAAGGTAACAATTCAAACATATTTCGGCCAAATCCAAAATTGTTTCGAAATTTATATCTCCAATGTTGCCAAAACTTATAAAATGCCTTAGCTACGTCACAGTTAGACACTGATTTTAAGTATATTTGACTGTTCTTTTGATAATGATAGCAATTATCTCTGTAGTTTATCCAGATTCCCGATGGTTAATTCTGACTCAATTGCCGAATGACAAGGGCGACGCCATGTTTGTTTATAAACACTGAAAGTAGTCCCTACTTGACCTTTGATATTTGCATCTCTATCTGCATATGACCCAAACGGATATCATTTTTATCTGTAGGCTTTATCCTGCCGAGAAATCTGCCCATTATATGATATAGAGAAGTATGTACGTTTAGAAGGGACGTTTCCAATGTGTACCACTTAATGACAAAACTAACAATCAGTCAAGTGTACCACAATGTCTTTTTTCTTATCACAATATGCTGGACCTGATTTCAAACTTTACACGCTAATCCTGCACAAGACAAATGGTGCATCTCGAGTTATGAATCTATGATGTCACATGCGATGCGTTCATGAGTGTCGGTTCGCACAACATACCAGTACGTGCGTTTGTGCATCGAACCAATCTAATTTCTTTTGAATATGAATAAGCCTTCATACATTAACCAACATGTATGATATTCGCGTTCTTTTGTCTGTGAGTATATATATATTTATACATGTTGATATGTTTGCACAAGGTAGAATTAAAATACAAAGGGGACAATATAATGAGGAGGCCAATGGGATTAACAGGAGAGAAGCCACTCAAGGACAATGAAATTGTAGTGATAGCGTAATAATATAACAATTTATCATCCAAAACTGAATCCCACAGGAGACATCGATTGGATGAGATCAAGCGATATCTACATTGTAGATATCGCTGCAATGAAATTACATCACAATTCTTTGAAGACCTTGTGTCGTCACTGGTTACCATGACGTCACAATCAAAAGACATCACGAATGGCTCTGCTACTGAAGCTGTACTCCAGTACTTTTTACACTGAAGACACTGCTAATTACTTTCTACAAATTGAAAAAGTTGAAAGAATGATGTTGGATGAAAAATAAAATCTCACCCTCGTGTCTTTTGATATCAATTACATCAACACGAGTTGATAAAAGTGGCAAAAATCCTTGGCAAGCCTTGCAATTTTTTTCAACTCGTGTTGATATATTTGATATCAAAAGACACTCGGGTGAGATTCTCTATATATATCATATGCACTACTGTCATCATATTGTTTGCAGTGTGGATGAAGAGGAAAACACAGACGAAGAATCTGTAAGTTTTGTTGGAGCTACTGCTACTTTTACAACAAGATGCCCTATAAATACATCCATGACGATCCGGGGTAGAATAGGTCTTCAGCAACCCATGCTTGCTGTAGAAGGCGACTATACTTGTTGACTAACAGGATCGGATGGTCATGCTTGTTGACTTGGTTGATGCATGTCATCTTATCCGAATTGCCTGCATCGATGCTCATGATGCCTGTAAATAATGGAGTCTTGAACAGACAATCCAGTATTGTCATCATGAGCAACGTCTACCAAATGTGTGGATCGACCGCTGTCATATAGCTGGAATATTGCTGAGTGCGGCAGTAAACAAACAAACAAACAAACAAACCATATAAATAAAGTATATCCATACTGTGATTCTCCTTCAGTGATCTCAAAGAGACAAGTCTTATGTCTTATCATTAACTGATTCTTTGGGACACCATCACCTGGTATTGGTCTATCCATCTACTGTAATACATCTACAGTAGTACATCTATCCTAGTACATCTATCCTAGTACATCTACTCTAGTACATCTATCCTAATACATCTACAGTAGTACATCTATTGAAGTACACTGGTTTGCCTTTCGGGGTAAGGGAACGGTCCATTTGGTTTACAGTAGAAGCCTAGAATTGTTCTGAGTCCATTTCATCTCTGATTTAAGTACAGCAAACTACGGCTATAACAAACTCTAAGGGACCACTAATTTTAGTTCATAATAACTGTAGTTCATTATAAGCATATATACAGCATAAATACAACAAATGGCCAGGACTAAAAAATAAGTTCGTTAATTCGGTCAGTTCTTTATAAGCGTGTTTGTAATAAACGTAGTTTACTGTATATCGAAGCCACTCTGTTTAGTCTAGTCACATCAGTAGTGCTTCAGGTGTGGAGTGGTATATGCAGGGTGATCACTGCAAGGGATGTGTTGCAGCAGCCCGCTCCATCCAAACGCCGACGTCGGGCACCAGTAGGTCGGACCACAAAGAAAGAAGCAGATTCCTCTCTTGTGTTAGAAGATGAGCCCGATAGAGCAGTTACGACAGTGGCAAGAAGGTGAGGGAGAGATTTGAGTATTATTGGGGGAGATAAGAGTTCTGTTGAGGGATATGGAGGTACTGCTGTTGGGCGAGATAAAGATGGTATTGGGAGAAACTGTTCAGGGAAATAGGGGTTCTATTGGGAGAAACTGTTCAGGGAAATAGGGGTTCTATTGGGAGAAACTGTTCAGGGAAATAGGGGTTCTATTGGGAGAAACTATAAGGGGAAATAGGGGTACTATTGGGAGAAACTATAAGGGGAGATAAGGGCAGTATTGGGAGAAACTATAAGGGCAGATAAGGGTACTGTTGGGAGAAACTATAAGGGCGGATAAGGGTACTATTGGGAGACACTATAAGGGCAGATAAGGGTACTATTTGGAGAAACTATAAGGGCAGATAAGGGTACTATTGGGAGAAACTAAAAGGGCAGATAAGGGTACTATTGGGAGAAACTATAAGGGGAAATAGGGGTACTATTGTGAGAAACTATAAGGGGAGATATGGGTACTATAAGAAGAAGCTATAAGGGGAGATAAGGGTACTATTGGGAGAAACTATAAGGGGAGATAAGGGTACTATTGGGAGAAACTATAAGGGGAGATAAGGGTACTGTTGGGAGAAACTATAATGGGAGATAAGGGTACTATCGGGTGAAACTATAAGGGGAGATAAGGGTACTATTGGGAGAAACTATAAGGGGAGATAAGGGTACTATAAGAAGAAGCTATAAGGGGAGATAAGGGTACTATAAGAAGAAACTATAAGGGGAGATAAGGGTACTATAAGAAGAAGCTATAAGGGGAGATAAGGGTACTATAAGAAGAAGCTATAAGGGGAGATAAGGGTACTATAAGAAGAAACTATAAGGGGAGATAAGGGTACTATAAGAAGAAACTATAATGGGAGATAAGGGTACTATAAGAAGAAGCTATAAGGGGAGATAAGGGTACTATTGGGAGAAACTATAAGGGGAGATAAGGGTACTATAAGAAGAAACTATAAGGGGAGATAAGGGTACTATAAGAAGAAGCTATAAGGGGAGATAAGGGTACTATTGGGAGAAACTATAAGGGGAGATAAGGGTACTATTGGGAGAAACTATAAGGGGAGATAAGGGTACTATAAGAAGAAACTATAAGGGGAGATAAGGGTACTATTAGAAGAAGCTATAAGGGGAGATAAGGGTACTATAAGAAGAAGCTATAAGGGGAGATAAGGGTACTATTGGGAGAAACTATAAGGGGAGATAAGGGTACTATTGGGAGAAACTATAAGGGGAGATAAGGGTACTATTAGAAGAAGCTATAAGGGGAGATAAGGGTACTATAAGAAAAAACTATAAGGGGAGATAAGGGTACTATTGGGAGAAACTATAAGGGGAGATAAGGGTACGATTGGGAGAAACTATAAGGGGAGATATGGGTACTATAAGAAGAAGCTATAAGGGGAGATAAGGGTACTATTGGGAGAAGCTACAAGGGGAGATAAGGGTACTATTGGGAGAAACTATAAGGGGAGATATGGGTACTATAAGAAGAAGCTATTTATAAGGGGAGATAAGGGTACTATTGGGAGAAACTATAAGGGGAGATAAGGGTACTATAAGAAGAAACTATAATGGGAGATAAGGGTACTATTGGGAGAAACTATAAGGGGAGATATGGGTACTATTGGGAGAAACTATAAGGGGAGATAAGGGTACTATAAGAAGAAGCTATAAGGGGAGATAAGGGTACTATAAGAAGAAGCTATAAGGGGAGATAAGGGTACTATAAGAAGAAGCTATAAGGGGAGATAAGGGTACTATAAGAAGAAACTATAAGGGGAGATAAGGGTACTATAAGAAGAAGCTATAAGGGGAGATAAGGGTTCTATTGGGAGAAGCTATAAGGGGAGATAAGGGTACTATAAGAAGAAACTATAAGGGGAGATAAGGGTTCTATTGGGAGAAGCTATAAGGGGAGATAAGGGTACTATAAGAAGAAACTATAAGGGGAGATAAGGGTACTATAAGAAGAAACTATAAGGGGAGATAAGGGTACTATTGGGAGAAACTATAAGGGGAGATAAGGGTACTATTGGGAGAAACTATAAGGGGAGATATGGGTACTATAAGAAGAAGCTATAAGGGGAGATAAGGGTACTATAAGAAGAAGCTATAAGGGTAGATAAGGGTACTATAAGAAGAAGCTATAAGGGGAGATAAGGGTACTATAAGAAGAAGCTATAAGGGTAGATAAGGGTACTATAAGAAGAAACTATAATGGGAGATAAGGGTACTATTGGGAGAAACTATAAGGGTAGATAAGGGTACTATAAGAAGAAACTATAATGGGAGATAAGGGTACTATTGGGAGAAACTATAATGGGAGATAAGGGTACTATTGGGAGAAACTATAAGGGGAGATAAGGGTACTATTGGGAGAAACTATAAGGGGAGATAAGGGTACTATTAGAAGAAGCTATAAGGGGAGATAAGGGTACTATAAGAAGAAGCTATAAGGGGAGATAAGGGTACTATAAGAAGAAGCTATAAGGGGAGATAAGGGTACTATAAGAAGAAACTATAAGGGGAGATAAGGGTACTATAAGAAGAAGCTATAAGGGGAGATAAGGGTACTATAAGAAGAAACTATAAGGGTACTATAAGAAGAAGCTATAAGGGGAGATAAGGGTACTATTGGGAGAAACTATAAGGGAAGATAAGGGTACTATTGGGAGAAACTATAAGGGGAGATAAGGGTACTATTGGGAGAGACTATAAGGGGAGATAAGGGTACAATTGGGAAAAATTGCACAGAAGTAATGTTTATTCCCCTCCTTGCAGACCCGCCCGGCAGAGAGGAGCCAACAAGAAACAAACACCATCCAAACCAGTGCTCCCCAAAGTCACGTCCAAGCGGTCAGATAGCGGCGGGTAAGTTGTGCAGGCCATACCAACATAGATGTTCAGTGTTGCACTAGCGTGTTTGTCCTGGCTCGTGGTATTCTGGACAATACTTGCCACATAACATGCATAGTTTTACAAAAACGGATAGATGGGAACCTGACAGTGGAGGTATGCAGAAGTATTTAGATGTCCCAGATCGGACTCAACCCTGAAAGGTACCAGAATCTGTACTTTACTAAGAAAGTGTTGTCATAAAATTTTAACATTTGTTAAGATTTCCATTGCTAACTTTCATCCCGAGTCCCAATCACGCACATTGAGACGCCCAACGCTAACACCGTATTCGTGCATGCGTGATTCCCGTGCACCCTTTCGAGTTGATTGGTTCAACTGTGTCATATGGCCCTGTGATGCAGGGGTAGCATTATGCAGATGGCTGTTACAATGAATGCTCGTTCCACCCATGACGAACAGGTCTGGTTGTTGATGAAATATAGTGATATATATAGCTAAATAGACAGATTTTTTATTCATGCACCGATTGTCTTTAAATGTAATATCCATTTATCATGTTTATGTATGACTGTTTAATAATCTCATACCAACTTTGACTGGAGTAGGTCCAATAGTTTTTCAGATATTGTAGTAAACGTTAGTACCTTAAATTACCCTCCAGACTATACATGTGTATGTGTGTTCTTCCTCAGTTCCAGCGGGCCAGAGCGGAGAAGCAGCATGAGGAAGAGCAGCTCCCACTCCTCAAACAGATCCTCAGACCACCAAGACCCGGACGATCTGTTTGCAGACCTTGAATAAACAGGTCTTACAACATTCATTGCAGGGATTAGTGAAAGATTAACTGTCAGTGTGTTGAGGTCGGCAATATTACTACGTATATGAGTATGTGAGAGTGTGGGTTGAAGTGAGAAATATTTCAGCTGTAGCAAGGCAGTTTGTAAAGAATCCAGATAACTAACCATTGGCTGAACAACCTTCAAGGTATGTTGATAGACAATCAACCATCTCACATCGTATATACATATGTATTTACTTGTGAGCTTACTTACTTGAAGATTCCGGGGTAGAATAGGTCTTCGGCAACCCATACTTGCCGTAAAAGGCAACTATGCTTGTCGTAAAAGGCGACTAACGGGATCGGGTGGTCATGTCATCCATCTAAATCGTGTGGATCGATGCTCATGATGTCAATCACTGGATTGTCTGGTCCAGACTCAATTATTTTACAGACCGCCGTCATATAGCTGGCATATTGCTGAGTGCAGCGTTAAACAACAAACAAACAAACAAACTGCTTCCACCCATGCACAGACCATATACCGGTATATGGTCTCTGACCCATGGTGCGAGTGAAAGGACTGCTGTACCTTCTTGTCAAGGTTGTGTGATGAATGATATCAACACCTAGTTTACCAACATACTTCATAGATTTGTAAGAGCTGTTCTGTGATGAAAACATTTCCGTGTTATCTGGTAAATTCTTTATCAAGTGCTTTTTAAAGTTAGATGCGAGAAACTGCTTTGTAGGAAAGCATACAGTATTTATGGTCGTACGAAGATGGTTCTACCTGATTGACCTCAGACTCACATTTCTATCTTTTTCTCCTTAATAAGAAGTAGAATATCATGAGATATCTGTTGGGGCTTGAGGACAAGAATACTTTTTCCATATTCAAAGACAATGCATTTTGTTGATGTGATATGTATTTGGTGTTACATATATTGAAAAACCCAGTATCATATACAACCAGCCATTCGGCCCTCCATCCAACCTACCCATCCAGCCCACCCATCCGACCCTCCATCCAACCTACCCAACTGACCCTCCATCCACCCCACCTATCTGACCCTCCATCCAACCTAGCCATCCACCCCACCCATCTGACCCTCCATCCAACCTACCCATCCACCCCACCCAACGTACCCATCAAACCTTCCATCAAACCCTCCGTCCAAACTACCTGTCCGCCCCACCCATCCACCCCACCCATCCAACCCGCCATCCAACCCACCCAACGTACCCATCCACCCCGCCCATCAGACCCTCCATCTGACCTACCCATCCACCCCACCCATCAGACCATCAATCCAAACCCTCCATCCAACCCAAGCATGAAGCCCCATCACTGACATTAGTCTACAAAGGCAGCATCTGTTTGTGTTAAGATTCTTAAGGTGTGCATGTCTATGTTCTAGCTACCATATTGTGTGTATTTGTACATGTAGTGCTGTAGAATATTTTAGATGTAGAAGATTTTCATATACAACACTGTGATGATTGCGATTGCTAATGAAATGAACTGATACCATTTATTTCCCATTCTTTATATGTGGTTGTTTTAGGAGAGATTTTACAGCGTTGCTATGGCAACCTGACCAGGGATAATAAAACTATAAAACTGGATTTTGTTTGTGTTTTTGTTAAATGTGTACCTGTCTATGTAATCACGTGGCGAAAGCTTGAGCCCTCATGGTTTATTCTCCCTGCAGTGTTTTATGTGTAGCATAAAGTGGGTCCTAGGGATATTTATGATATTTAAGACTCTTATTTATGGTGAGGGGAGGTGAAATTGGGTTTAACGTCGCGTCCAAGATTATTGCACTTATATAGCAACGTGCATGTACGTGTGTGGGTTTGTGTGGCTGCTTGTACTAGTCCGGACTGATGCCGATTTATAGTGCTAGCCCACTGAGATACCATGCCGCTGTTTAACATGAATACCCCACTCAAGACACAGTATACTGACTCCGAGCCGACCAGTCCTTGTTTAAGCCCCTTAATGCCTAGCGCCAGACAGGGTAACAACAAGTACCATCTTTTAACGTCTTTTGGTATGACGCGGTCGGGGACGAACCCCGGACCTTCCGCTCTCCGGGCGGACGCTCTACCACTAGATCACGGAGGCGGTCTCTTATCTATGGGATAAGGGTTTTTAAACATAAAACCTGATGGGAAGTGTTTTATCTAACTTATGAACAAAACAAAACCCACTTAAAACAACATTTATCAACATTTTTATGTTTCAAACACACTTTCCATGAACCTTAGGAAACGGGTGTAAACTATTATCTGTTGCTGGCGTATGGTACTTGAAAAAGACATACTTAAAAGCTTTGTGATTTATCAGCGCCACTGTAGCCTAGTGGTACACTCACAATGAAGGATGTGTGTTCGATCCTCGGGAATATGAAGAAAACATTTGTCATTTGATTTTACATGTAAATACATTGTGTTCAAATACAAAATAAATTTCTCACCAGAAACATTCATATGTTAAAATCTAAACAGAATTTGTATTAATAAAATCCCTGTAATATCATAACATATATAGAAATGTGCCTGGGATATCATAACGTCCCTGTTTATGAGATTTAACCCAACTGGAGAACAATAGCTTTTATGGCTTTGTATTATTTTATTCATATTTCTACCACATGTATTACATTCCTGGAAGATGCAGGCACTTGACGTTTATAGTTGGAACAAAATATCTCTGTTGGTATATCCTAGGTATACCAAGCTTATCAGGAGCCAGTATGGACAAATTGATAATACCACACTGCCTCAACACTTGCAATAGTCTGGGCACCTCCAGCTATTTCAGGAAACTTTTTCAGGAAACTAGTCCAAGGTTCCTGTAATAGACAACCACTTATGACATACACAAAGGCAAAATTAACTATTATTTGTTTTTAAATAGATGTTTAGAAGTTTCAAACTAAGATGTTTTCTCTTCTGGTATTTACTGGTGTATAGTTTGAAAATAAACTAAATAGGTTTTCTCAAGATTTGTATTTTTTAAATTGAAATTTGATATTCAGCTTTGCACTTTCTGTTTGTTACACAAAGACCATTTGAGGTGTCACTTTCTGTTTTCGGCTTCCTTTGTTGTTTGTTTGTTGATTAACGCCACACTCAAGCAGTATTCCAGCCATTTGAAGGCAGTCTGAAATCTAGTGATTGATGTCATGAGCATCCATCAAGGCAGATTGGATACGATGACATGCAATCAACTAAGTCAGTGAGCCTAACCACTTGATCCATTTAGTCGTCTTTTGCGACAAGCATAGGTTGCTGAAGATCAATTCTAACCAGCATCTTCACGGGAGTAAACCTACATGCATGAACACAATGGCATCAAATTGCCTGAAGTGACATGGTATTTGTTGTGTGACTTAAGTGAGTGAGTGAGTGTGGTTTTGCGCCGCTTATCAATATTCCAGCAATATCACGGCGGGGGACACCAGAAATGGGCTTCACACATTGTACCCATGTCGGGAATCGAATCCGGGTCTTCGGCGTGACAAGCGAACGCTTGAACCACTAGGCTACCCGACCGGCCCGTGTGACTTAAATACAGAACCTGTATATCTATGCAGTCCATAATTATTAGTAATTTTCAGCTCCATTTATATGATTACAGTAGAATACTATTAGTTGCACAACTAATTACAGATAGTTGACTGTGAAGAAGGCCTCTGTTGAAAATCTGAAGATTTTTATAGCGTAATGTTAGCCAAAGTTCAGGATTTTTGGTAATGATGTAATAGAGGTAATTCTTTGAATTATTAACAATGACTATTGTTTGATTATTACAGCTAATTGTGCCTTTGGGTAGAAGTGACAAGTAGTTGTTGAACAAAGGGTAGTATTTCATATATGAGTCGATACAGAGTAATATAGAATGCATTTCAGATCTCACTTTCCAAGACTTCATAAAAATCTAAATATATACATTTTTATATGATACACTAATAAATAACACATACTAATCATAAACATGTTATATGCTCATCTTTAAATAATAAATATGACGATGATACAGATGAAAAATATCACAGATTCTATAGTGAATAACATGAGTATATATAGTTAACTCTCTCCACCAAGAGATTGCGAACATGATTGTTTAAAATAACAATAAGATCACACAATTTATTCTCTTATTTCGATATCTGGTCATCTCAAGTTATTCCTATATGTTTACTTCAAGATAACCAGATATAAATAAGGCCTGTGTTTCTATTATTTAGAAAAACAATAAAAATAGCTCTAACAACATGAAATACTGTTCAGAGCTCTCGCTCGCACGCTTGCTCACTCACTCACTCATCCACCAGCTGATTTACCCACTCACTCACTCTAAAACAATTGGCCTGATAAGGTGAACTGGGCCCACTTGCACAAAGCGATCTTAGCGCTAAAATTATCTTAACTCCCATACATTAACATAGGCTTACGATAGTCTTAGCGCTAAGATCATTTTGTGCAAGAGGGCCCTGATCCCAAATAATCAGTTGTTTTATGACAAGCTTGTTTGTTTGTTTGTTTGTTGTTTATGCCTCACTCGGCAATACTCCAGCTATATGACAGCAGCCGGTATTTAATCAAGTCTGGAACTGTGATTGATATTGTGAACAACAACCCATGATGTCAGATACAATGACACCGTGCAATAATCGCGAACAAAACTGGGGCAGGGACGAGAAAGGGGTACTCGGGTCAGGTGGGTTAGTCGCGTGACATTTTGTTTAAAACACAGAATCACATACTGTACCCAGGGGAAACCATCTTCCCGAGGCATGAGAGTTAACTGACTATAAAAGTCCAGTTTCCAGCCTTGCCGAACTAGGCTGGAATTACTGGGATCGATCGTAGCGCCACCAGTGGCTACTACCAGTTACGTCCCTTCTAAGCCTCTCCTATAGACCAATCAGATTCCACCTCTCGTATCACCTGCGTTTGCTTCACACAAAATGGTGGCGCCGAGTTAGGACGATCTGATCGATAATCAAGATCTATGTTGTGATAAAACGGGTCTTACATCGCGAAATGCATCAGATCAAGTGAGCACCTTGATTAAAAACATGAAAAGATTTGGAAAATATCTGCTGACAACTAGTTGGCGATGCACGTGCTTTGCAAATCCTGCAATCGACCGAAATCTACACGACAGTTTACGAACCGGATTTCGATTTCGGAGCACGATTTTGATTGGACTATGCATAGACTCGTTAGTCCAGCCAAAATGTAACTTCATAATACCAGCCTAGTTCGGCAAGGGTGGAAACTGAACTTTTATAGTCAGTAAACGCTCTTGCCTCGGGAAGATGAGGGGATACATGACAAGGAGGCTGTGTTACAATCTCATTAAAATCAGATCTTAGTTCTCGCTATCGCTAAACAAAGATCTGCGAACATCCCATTAAGGGTCACGTCAGAACTACCTTTCATCCGACCAATCAGAGCGTCGCTTACCAGATCATGAAAGTGACAGTCGGAATGTGTTTTCTAATCATGCAACCTCGAAAACGTTAACACGGGGTATTCCGAATGACAGTAACGGCCCGTACGACTGATTCCATCAAAATTATAGTCTATCTCTCACGTCCGTGGGACAAACATTCCAGAATGTATGTTTGTTCAGTTTTACAAAATTTTAATCGAGAACTGTGTCAACATATTTTTCAAACGTAGTCTGTAATGGAAGTCGCCAGGTTGAAACGAGTGCCGTATAGCTCTTGAAAGCTGGTTTCTAAATCAAGAAGTCAACTTCTTGTTTGTCCTTTCAGTGGTCGGTCAAAGTTCGTGAAAGGTCGTTCTGGCGTGAACCGTATGGGATGACCTCAGATCTTTGTAGCAGGAGGAACTTAGATCTGATTTTAATGAGATTTGCGGTGTTAAGGCTATCACACCCATTCATTGGTAGCTTTTGCACCTTTCAAACCCGTCCCAGAATGCCGGCAGACAGGATGATGAATATCTATCCCAAGCCCAGTTTGGCCAGAAGCCATTTTGATTGTCCCTACATACCCCAAGGCAGGACATTCCCTAGACTGGCACATATCTCTAAGGCAATGATTATTTTAATAGTTTAAATCATAATTCTTAGATTACAGAAAGACTGGCACCCCTTGTTCATCACTCAGAACAGACTTGAAGCAAGGCTAGACATACCCCTGGCAGAGAATCCAATGGGTCTTGAAACTTTTAAGATGGAGCATCAGTTTTCAGAATTTGTGCTCTACTTGAAATGAAAATACAAATCCCAATTCAAGGAATTTAAAGCTCATCCCTGGCGGAAGATAAATTGAATCGACCTCCATCCCATGTCTTTCTCGATACCAAACCAGCAGTAGAAATTGGCGCTAGTCCTGTAGTCCTTGCCAAACTGGCCAATAGTTAAGGTATCCTTAGGACTAGTAGAAAATTGCCATTTTTAAGGGTTTTGCTATATCTTATCATTATAAGGGCTAGAGAGCCAAAAATGTTAGTTTCTACCCCTGTAAACTAGAGTATTTGCACCTGTAGGGGAGGATAAGAGTGTTTGGCTAAGCACATAATTTGCACATTTACAAGGAATGGGATGACGATACAAATTATTGACATGCACATGGTCCAAGGAAACCAATGCTATCTGACCTAGCTCTTATATAGTTTCCCTTTTGTGTTGCTGTGTTGATTAGGTTTAAAAAAAAAAATGAATTGGTTCTCAGGCAATGACTTTTGAAAATAAAGTGTTTTTTTTGGGGGGGGGGGGGGGGGTTGGGGGGGGGGGGGGTTTGCTTGTACAAACCAGAGACCATAAAATAGATCTACTCAATTAAACAGTTGTGTACCTTCAACCTTGGAAAGGGCCTGCCTACATAACAAGCATACAAACTCCTGATCCCGCCATGGCCATAACACGAGATGTGCAGTAAAGCAGTGCGCATGTAAAGGGAAGTAACTGCGTGCTATATTGGATCACATTTTTTTAAAGTATTATGATATTTTAAAATCTTTTTGGGAAAATGGAAATGAAAATGAAACGTGCGGCAGACTTTATGATGATGCGGGCGGTGCCTACGAACCAAGACTATTATTTTTTAAGCCTTGTATAAAGCATTATAACAGTGGGCCAATAGATTAAAACTTTCATCCTCCTGATGTCACCATTAGGTCACCACTAGGTCACCATTAGGTCACATGGTCATCCACCCTCTGAGAGTGAGTGAGTGAGTGAGTGAGTGAGTGATTCACATCTTATATTACAAAGGCTTGAAGATTTTCATGTATGGTGCAATGAATGAAACGTAACTTTCTCATGATAATGGTCCAAATATCTGTTGATCCTCACTGTGATGTGAAGGTTGTTTAATTTGAATATCACACCATATGCCCTTATATATATAAATATCACAGGGTCACAGGGTTACGGATCAGACCTTAAAAATAGAAACTTCAGAAAAAAATGAAATCAGAATGATAAGGTCTTCTGTACCGCCCACAGTAAAGATCACTTTGACCACACAAAAAAAATCCATGTTGTCATGTTGAATTTTAATAGTATCGCTAAAATAGAAAAAGTGCCAATAAATTGGTCTTCTGAGGTAATACACTGTATTGTTTATATACAATATATTGTAATTATATTATATATGCTACTCAAAAGAAGTTAAGGAACACCTGATGCCAGACAGTTTAACAAATATGAAAGAATCGGGTGTTCTTTAACTTCTTTTGAGTAGTATAAATCACTTCATGATTTAATCAAAATGATTAAAGTATGTTTTTTTCTACTTATCACAATTATCACTCTAATACAACACACATCAGATACCTGATACAATAAATGAATACCTCAACACTGAAATAAAGCCTTTTTTCTGCAAAAGTTAGACATTCTGAAATTTCCTTCTTTAAGATATTATTTCAAAATAAAATTTCTTCCACTGGGAGAACAGAAATACCAGGTATATCAATAAATATGATTATAATGTTAGTTGTGTGAAGTTTGTTAACTCCTAGATATCCGGAGATTGTGGACTTAACTGATAAAAAATTTACAATTTCTTTTATCAGTAAAAACACGAACATTGAGGTTGTTCACAAAAATTAATAAAGATATTTATAGGAGGAAATGTCAGTGGAAAATCATTTTGTGAATTGAGTCGTAGAAGAAACAGGTCTCTCAGGACTCCATTGACCTTTCAAGTCCCCACAGGCAGGTGAGCTTCAGTACCTGCAATACTCTGGATAGATTCGTGGACGTCATGGTTAGTAATGTCTGGTGGAATTAATTATGGCGAGATTCATATGAAGATGAGATGATATTGATAAATTTGCACCAATCTCGTCAAGTCACAGAGCCATATCAATCGTATTTGTGATTTAGTCCATATGGTGCTGTTTTTATTTTAGAAATTTACGACTTGTGGTCGTTGTTTATCACACAATAAAACACTGCTGCACCCCTCATGGTTTATTCTCCCTTTAGTGTTTTATTGTACGATAAACAACGACCAAAGTCGTTTATTTCCTATATGAGATATCAACATTATGTCCTCTTTAAGGACGATGATAAAATGTACAAGCTTTTAAAAATATTTACCCAAATTTTAATAATGATGACTCCCTGAAGAGAATCTGACCTCGGACAAGTTGGTTTTACGAATAGGTGGGTTACGTTTGGTATTTCCCGCATATTCTCACAATCCTCACGTGAAATGAAAATCGAATTCACTTGATCCATTGACCGGGGTAATAATAGCGTAACACTATGAACATCCACTTGGTGAATGGAATTTGGCGCATTATAAATGCACATCATCATCATCATCATCATCATCATCATCATCATCATCATAATTATTATTATTATTATCATTATCATTATCATTATTATTGTTGTTGTTAATAGTGTAACACAATGAGCATCCACTTGGTGATTGGAATTTGGCGCATTATAAATGCACATTATATTATTATTGTTGTTGTTGTTGTTATTAACATAGACAGACTCAGGAAAGACATATTCACAACTACTTTTGATGTGGCTCTGTTAAAAAATGTGACATACACAATCTAAAAATACACCACTGTACATTTGCATACACTTGCATGAGTTGTTTTGTTCTGTAGCTGTGTCATGGTATTTCCCACTGTGATGGACGTATGATTACAAACAAGTTTTAGGGACTGGTCACGTATTTTTGGGGCCGGTGGGCCGGTGAGAGGGGGATCATGAAAAAATGACACACTAAAAGAGGGGGGATCGCCCAAAACTTATGACAACTGCATGGTGGGGGAAAGAAAAAAATGGCACAATTCTATTTTTTCATGTAACAAAATTATTAATTTGAACATTTTTAGGGACTGTCATTTATTAAAGGGAGGCGTGGCTGGTTGGTGGGTTATCATGATTTTTTTACATAAAATGAGGTAGGGGGGGTCATAAAAAATATTGCATAAAATTAGGTGAGTCAGCAAAATGTGATACAGTCCTATGACAAATCCACCCTCACCTATTATAAATGACCAGTCCCTTACAACCATGAAGACTACATACAAATGATATGCAAGAAAATAGTAGGTATGTTGTACAACTCTTTGCATATACAGAAACAATGAAGGCAACAATTAACTACTGAGACAAAACTGATTGTCAGCCATATTGGAATGGTTCCAGGGTTTCAAAATGATGTTACAGGCAGTATTTTTTTCTCATCAGCTTCAGGAAATGATAGCAGTGGCTGTGACTATCAAAAAGACTTATGACAATTTGTAAACCAATTTGGTACCGGTACCGGTACTTTGTGTAGGAATGTCATAAAAAAATTACAATTCATTGACCCCTAGATATATATATACTAGGCAATTTTCTTTTCCTTGATTCATCGATCCGTCCACACTTTCTCATACCGGAATACCGGTACCAAAACCGATTAAGAGAGCTTTGCCACTTATATTTTCCAACAAATCCCAAAAGCAGGTCGATAATGAAATAGAAGTAACTCTTTTATGTGTCATTTTAAGAAAAATTTCAAGGAGCATGTTTTAATTGTTTATTTATCCTACCAAACATGAATTGTCAATAAACATACTTGTAAAAGGCCATGTAGACTGTATGCTTCCTTTATAAACATGCATTTTATTTTGGTTTTAAGTTTCAGGAACTTTCAAAGTTGTCTGTGAAAACCGCATCGTACATGTAGCCATTGTTTGAATATTTATTAATCGATATCGAGATAAAGTACCAACTCATCTGAATTTAATATTGATTAGAAAATCAAAATCAGCCAGTAAAATCATTTTGAAATCCCTGATACAGGCCTCCCAAAGAAAAAATCTAACGTGTTAAAAAACATAGACATGTTTCTTCTATTTGTCTTTTCTGCACACAAACGTATTAAATAGCAGAATATGAGTAGATTTTGTACTCTAAAACTAGTCGACAACATATCCAGAAAATGTTGATAAGCAGCACTAGAATTGTATATCATTATTTTGTGGAATACATTGTCAACTCGTACTAAAAACTAGAGACTAGTTTTAGCATGAAAAATCTACTCATATTTCTGCTAGTCAATATTTATTGTACAAAATGACAAACAGCATTCATATTTATGTTTGGGAACACACGTTAACGTTTTTTGGGTAGGCCTATGATAGATATGTTCATACCACAGTCTGTTATCACAAAACACATCTCATAATACCGAACTCTACTCTGCATCATTTTCTGGAGAGACCTTGACCTTTGCTAGGTTGGACTGGACAAGAACATGCTCCTTGCAAGGCACAGGAGCAACTAGCTGTCATATCCTGAGTTTCCGACACGCGGACACACATTCCAGCCTTGTGACACGCCAGCAGAATCGTGCCATTTGCTGAGCCATTGTAGTGGTCTGTTTTCTCATGACAAGGTCTGTTTTGCCGAGGTTTATGATCCTGCTGTGCATTTATTGTGTGGTTAGCAGCGCCCCCTGGTGTTAACGGCGAAGCACTCTTTGATGTTGGAGGAAGTTTCTTGGCACTGTTGCACTGTTCCTCAGGGTCGTCATCTTCATCGATGAAGCGGATGTCACTCAGACTGTTGCTAAGTCCCCGTTTCACTGTAAACAAGATCATAACTGTGTTTTACACATAGCAAAACTCAATCTCATTAAAATCAGACTTTAGTTCTCGCTACCGCTGAACAAAGATCTGAGGACATCCCATTAGGGGTCATGTCAGAACGACCTTTCATCCGACCAATCAGAGCATCACTTACCAGATTATGAAAGTGACAGTCGGAATGGGATTTCTAATCATGCAACCTCGAAAACTTTATTCCCAACGATAGTTACGGTTTTAACAACTGAATCCATACACTCTAGACCATCTATTAGCCATTCCAGAATGTTCTTTTGTTCAGGTTTCAAATTTGTAATCGAGAATTTGTCAAAATATGTTTCGAAGCGTAGTCGCCAATTTGAAATTAGTGCCATAAAGCTCGAGAAAGCTGCCTTCTGACTGGTCATTCCATTGTCGGTCAAAGTTCGCGCAAGGTCAGTCTGACATGACCCATAATGGGATGTCCTCAGATCTTTGTTTAGCGGTAGCTAGATCTAAGATCTGATTTTAATGAGATTGCGCAAAAATATATAGGATGACTTGTTTACATTTAATATCACATGGAACCTGCGCGTCTGCTGGATGATTAGATCATTAGTGTTATACACAAAGCAAAAGACCTGTGAAGATCTGGGGTAGAATACGTCTTCAGCAACCCATGCTTGCCATAAAAGGCGACTGTGCTTGTCGCACCAAAAGGCAGGGTGGTGCTGATATTTCAGTATTATATTAAAAGTGTATGGGGAGATGCTAATTGCATCAATTGTTGGAACTAGAAAATTTCCTCAAAATCTGATTATTTGTGAGTCTTTACTCATCAGTATATTCTACAAGTCAACATGAATGTTTCAACAGACATAATGTGTGAAGCACTTCCATTGGTTTATTGTAAACTGTTACCATCAAGTCCCTCGCTGTCTAGGTCATCCTGGCTTCATGACAAGCAAGACCATTTGATACTTTTAGGGATTTTCTGAGGTCAACACAGAGGTTTGTTTGTTTGTTTGTTTGTTTGTTTAAGGTCAACACAGATGTTTGTTTTTGGTTGTCTGTTTTGTTTGTTTGTTTGTTTGTTTGTTACCAATTCGAGCCCTGATCTTCACAGGGTTCTACACCAGTGTCCGAAAGAACAGCCAGCCCGCTGACCCGTGGCTGGTAACTTTTCTGTCGGGCTGCATAAAATTTTCCTCCACAGCCCGAATGTCTGGCAGACTAATTACGTTTTCAGTTTTATTATAACTCCTGGTAGATTCTCAAGTGATTGTTTGCATTATTTCTACTGAATCAAGACTTGATTTGTCTCTTACTTTTCGCGAATTTTCAATATTTATAACGTATGAGTTTCGGCAGATAACTTTGAAGATGGGCAGACAACATTTATGAGTCACATGCCCTTCGTCTTGTTGGGTCAACACAGAGGTAACTTTCAATATGCTAAACATCATCTGTTAAAGTGCCATGTATTCCATGCCATGTGTCACACTGTCAACATCAAGTCTGACCTTTGCTCTCCTGTTCTTCATTGAAGTTGCTGTCCAGTTCGTCCTGACTGCAGGTGATCTGGTTGAAGGTGGCAGCGAGGTTGGCGCCGCTGCTTGAAATATGCAGACTGTGCAGATCACAGCAAGACTGCACACACCTGCAGCAGAAGCAATCATGTAGCGGTAGAACAGGAGACAACTTTAGATATGATGTCCTCTATATCTCCTGCTTCAAAATTGCCTGGGTTTGGACAACCTGACTAGAACCCAACGTAAATGATATTTTAATACTTGTTACCTGGGATTATAATTTTTCAAAATTTCAAGGCAGTGATTATAAGGTGAAATTCTCCTTACATGACTTATCTCCCTTTTCAGTCCAGGATCCACAACTCTGGTTTTGGCTCAGTTGACCCAGGATCTCATAAAGCTACTCCAATTCATGATTAAACTTTCCAAAAGTTGTGGACACAAATGTATGAAAATATAATACCCTGAGAAATTAGTGAAAAATTATTTTTTAAATATGATATGCTGTTCATGATTTTGTTCTGGTTTGAAAGTGGAATTCAAATATCATTATCAGAAACCAAGTCACCTAACGAAACAAACACGACTAGTTCACCTGCTATAAACACCCACCACTAGGGCGACTGCTATACACACCCAACACTAGGACTATACTCAGCAAACAACCAGGGCTATACACACCCACCACTAGGGCTATACACACCCACCACTAGGGCTATACACACTCACTGCTAGGGCTACAAACACCCACCACTAGGGCTACACACACCCACCACTAGGTCTATACACATCCCCCACTAGGGCTATACACACCCACCACTAGGTCTATACACACACTCACCGCTAGGGCTATACACACCCACCACTAGGGCTATACACACCCACCACTAGGACAATCCCCAGCCACCACTAAGACTATACACACCAACCACTAGGGCTATACACACCCACCACTAGGGCTATACACATCCACCACTAGGGCTATACACACCCACCACTAGGGCTATACACACACCCCACTAGGGCTATACACACACCCCACTAGGGCTATACACATCCACCACTAGGGCTATACACACCCACCACTAGGGCTATACACACCCACCACTAGGGCTATACACACCCACCACTAGGGCTATACACATCCACCACTAGGGTTATACACATCCACCACTAGGGCTATACACACACCCCACTAGGGCTATACACACACCCCACTAGGGCTATACACATCCACCACTAGGGCTATACACACCCACCACTAGGGCTATACACATCCACCACTAGGGCTATACACACCCACCACTAGGGCTATACACACCCACCACTAGGGTTATACACATCCACCACTGGGGCTATACACACCCACCACTAGGGCTATACTCGCCCACCACTAGGGCTATACCCACCCGAGCCGGGGAGTCTTGAGATTCTGTTCCTGTTGGAAGAGAAGGATCATCTTGCTGGTGCTGGGGCTGCCACGTCGGCCGGCCAGCCAGTAAGTCTTCTGCTGGCCTTTACCCTGAAACACCAAGGTTTTGTAATTAATATCTTTTCACATACCAATCCAAAATTTCTGATTTCATACCTCAGCAGATCTCCGGTTCCACTTTTGTGTTCTAGGCCTGCTCTGTACATTTACAGAGACACAGGGAAGTCCATATAAAATAAGCAAGAAAATTAAAAAATTCTAGAAGAAACACGTATGAAATATTCATATCCCCGCCAACATGACATGTCCAGTTGCGTGCAAGGCAGGAAATATTGTAAGGTTTTCAAGCTCTGCTCTGGAAACGAGCACTACCACCATTGTTAGTCTAAATCAAAGTGGTTGCTATGGAAACTCGAAAGATCCCAAATTATCAAAAGGCACCAGTTTACCACTAGACCTATCTATGTGCAAAGTTTGGGGAAGATACAAGCACTACCACCATTGTTAGTCTAAATCAAAGTGGTTGCTATGGAAACTCGAAAAATCCCAAACTATCAATAGGAACCGGTTTACAACTAGACCTATCTATGTGCAAAGTTTGGTGAAGAAATATGGAATGGTTTTCAAGATCTGCTCCGGAAAGCAGCACTGTCACCATTACCGACCTATCTATGTGCCAAGTTTGGTTAAGATATCTCTCCTGCTTTTGGATTTGCTGCTTTGGAAATGAAACGTCCATTGGGGGAGTATTAACCAGAGAATAATCCTCCATAAAACTACACCTGGACAGGCAGTCCATGGGAAGGACATGTGCGCTGGATGATATGCTAATAGAAGGTGCACAACAACATGTTTTGTTTGTTTATTTGTTTGTTGTTTAATGCCACTCTCAGCAATATTCCAGCTATATCAAACAAGTCAGCGAGCCTGACCACCCGATCCCGATAGTCGCGTCTTACGACAAGCATAGTCGCCTTTTACGGCAAGTATGGGTTACTGAAGACCTATTCTACACCAGATCTTCACGGGTCGCACAGCTACATGAAGAATGAAGACTTTAAATCAATTCAATATAAATTTTAGTCCAAGAACAATATCATGTTTAGAGTTGATTAGGCAGCATTTTACATAGAAAAAGGTAGGTTAACCTCACAGGCAATGACTACATTCATGCTACAACTGTCCAGGGAGACCTACTGGCAGATAGTCCAAGCATCCATCACACATTCAGGTGAGAGCTGGCATTCCGTGATGATCATTCATCTAAGGACAATGCACACTTGAAGCCTTTATGACCACATGTTTTATCCACTTTTTGCACATCTTCCTGAGGCAAGGGCATTAACTGACTATAAAAGTCCAGTTCCCACCCTTGCCAGACTAGACTGCAATTTATGACATCCATTTCATAAACAACATGGATTTCAAATTTTCAACATGCAGATTTCGGTCAACTTCAGGATTTGCAAATCATGTGTACCGTCAACTGGATGTGGACAGATATTTTGCAAATGTTTTTGGTCAAGGTGCTCAAGTGATTTGATGCACCTCATAGGGTAACACATTTTATTAAAACAGATTTGATTATCGATCAGATTGTCTTGACTGGGCACCGCCATTTTGTTTGAAGCAAATGCAAGTGATGTTCAGATCTGATTGTCAATAAGAGAGGCATAGAAGGGACATAACTCGTAATAGCCACTGATGGCGCTATGATTGAGCCCAGGAATTCCAGCCTAGTTCAGCAAAGGTTGAAATTGGACTTTCAAAGTCAGCCGACATCCTTGCCTCTGGAAAATGCTACTTGCAAGGCACAGGGTTCTTTTACGCCACTTTTAGCAATATTTCATCCATTTCCCAGGGGACACCAAAAATAAATTGACTATCGTACCCATACATGGAATCAAACACGGTCTCCAGTGTGGCAAGCTAACACCACGGGGCCACCCAACTGCCCAAACAACTGCAACATTTGTTGCATTAGTAGATTTCTGTTTCCTATCAAACATTTTTCAGGATAGCTCTTGTTTGTTTGTTTGTAATATTCCAGTTTTATGTCAGTGGTTTGTAAATAACTGAGTCTGGACCAGAGAATCCAGTGGTCGACATTGTGAACAACAATCCTTGCAATTGGGGGACAAGGACACGCTATCAACCAAGTCAGTGATCCTGACCACCCAGTCAAGTTCATCGCCTGTTATGAGTGAGTGCGTGAGTAGGGTTTTACGCTGCTTTCAGCATTATTCCAGCATTATTTCAGCATTATTCCAGCATTATTCCAGCAATATCCCGACGGGGGACACCAGAAATGGGCTCGCCTCTCATGACCAGCATAGATTTCTGGGGACCAATTCTAAACTAGAATCCCCACTGAGGTATTCAGAACAGTTTACCTAATTACCGTTAATGTTCCCTTATGAAAACAAACAATTTTTGCAGAATATATTTGGTCCAGTAAGAATCAGGTGGTTCGTTTCCATGGAAACCATTCTGTAGGAAGTACCAAATACACATGTAGCAACATTCTACAAATAACAAACAATTAACAGCAGCTGGCTGAACCAAACCCTGGAAGGGTTAATGAAATGCGTGCCCCACTCGAGGGTTAACACAGGTGTTAGTAACCACAATGGCCTCCACCACGGTGCAGGAAGTGTCATCAACATGTTATCCTATACACGTAAACAAGTCGTCATCTCGGCCATGTTTTTCTACCTGACGGATATTGTCCAAGGAGATCGTTGTTGACTTTAATCTTTGCAAACGAAAACACACAGCCATGTTAGGAATTATAGTTTGGTACTGGAACCACATGGTACAGAAGCACTGGACACAAGTCGGTATCGGCCACAGCTGGTTGGTTTGCTGCAAATATTGTTGTTTCATGGCTTAAGGTTATATTTGTTTGAGATATTTATTATTTATGAACACAGTATTGTAAATCAAGAAAATAATGTGGGCTTGAAATTAATGCCAAAAATGTGAATGTCCATTGCTCACATTAATGTAGTGACACATTTTTATCTGGACATACTGCAGTATATTACCGTATTCAACCCAATAAGCGCCCATGTCCCAATAAGCCCCCCCCCCCCCCCCCCCCACTAGTTCCGGAAATTCTATAGTAATTTTTTCGTTTTAAATGAAAATTGTACGGGAACCGAGGTTTCCGGATATTTGAAGTCCGTATAAGCGGGACATGACTGTATTCTGTTTATTTTAGATATTTGTGACTTAAGGCTTACTGATGAATTTACGCCAATTTGACTCTGAATTAGCCCACCCCTTCTGTCTTTATTTTAAGCGCCCTGGGCGCTTATTGGGTTGAATACGGTATTTAACAAAGCTCACAATGAACAATGTAATTGAGTGCTAGATTTGGACATTGTTCCTCATCAAGTGTGGTCTGTTTGTTTACCCAAGTTGATCAAGCAGTTACTACAGTCGACAACCATGTATGACAGCATATATGTTCTTCCTAACCTATCAGATAATGTCATAATTACAAGCAAAACACGACTCATCATCTTCAAAAGGCAAGGTCGTTAACTGACTGTAAAAGTCCAGTTTCCACCCTTGCCGAACTAGGCCTGACCACCCGATCCCATTAGTCGCCTCTTACAACAAGCATAGTCGCCTTTTGCGGCAAGCATGGGTTGCAGAAGACATATTCTACCCCGGATCTTACTACTCCCGAGGCAAGGGAGTTAACTGACTATAAAAGTCCAGTTTACATCCTTACCGAACTGGAATTTCATCCTTGCAGAACTGGAATTTCTGGGCTTGCTCGTAGTGCCATCAGTGGCTATTATGAGTTATGTCCCTCCTAATGACCTATCAGATTCCACCTCTTATATCACTTGCATTTGCTTTAAACAAAATGGTGGTGCCCCGTGAAGACGATCTGATCTCTAATCAAGATCTATGTTGTAATGAAACAGGTCTTACTTTGAGAAGTGCATCAAATCACATTAACACCTTGATTAAAAACAAGAAAAGATTTAGAAAATTTCTGTTGACGGCATAGCCTAGTTTGGCAAGAGTGGAAATTGGACTTATAACTCCCTTGCATCTGGAAGATGACTACTCACCTTGGAACCATGTGAGGTAAAGCAAAAGGAATTGAACCTGGTACCTGTAGTCTTCATCGGTGACCCGACTCATTTGAATACTGTAAATTGTGAAATAAAAAATGCGTCTCCAAAAGAATGCGACCGCTGGCCCCTAGCCAAAAATCTGACTCAATATGAATGTGACACCCCCTGCTCTCAAGCATCAGTGGATTTATATTTTAAGAAAATGTCCTCAGTCAGGTTTACAGGAGAATCCTCACCTTAATCCAACCTTACATTAATCCAAACACACACCAAATAGCACCGCTTATTAGCGCTGAGTAGTGTACTTCCGCTAAAACAATACATGCGCGTTGGCTCGTGTCAGCCTTTGATGCAGTCGCAAAGAACAAAGACACAGTGTTGCGTGGGCGGCGTCTGTCTGGACTTGCAGGTGTGATCAGTGATGACATAAGCGAGTAGAACTCTTGTCTTGACCCCAGCAGTGACAATTCACAGGATGTAATTAGTGTTTGAATGACATTGTTTATATACTTATTACAATGTTATGAAGACAGGATCAACAGGATTTAAACTTTATGTTGAGTTTCTGAATGTCTGTGTTTACGTATGTAGCAGGGCGTGGAGTCATCTCACAGATGACATCCTACCTTGTCAGCTTGCTGTTGGGGTTAACCTCTTTGGTCATGTGGACAAGGCATCCGACCTCAGATCAGAAGGTCTGTGGTTTGAATCCCATCACAGGACACGGAAATTTTATGGCCACTATATTGGCGCCCAACGTTTGGTCTGAGCACGTTCATATTTTATTTGAGTAAAATAAGTCTCATTATCCTACGATGCGGCCTGGGACATGCCTTCTGTTTACGGGAAAGTATGTAGCAGGGTGTGAAGTCATCCCACAGATGACATCCTTACCTTGTCAGCCTGCTGATGGGGTTAACCTCTTTGGTCATGTGGACAAGGCATCCGACCTCAGATCAGAAGGTTCGTGGTTTGAATCCCATCATGGGACTC